TCATCGGAGGATAAGGTTGACAGCGTCTCGATTTGGTGCAGTTTGTAGAAGAAGGCAGACAACAAGCTGTAAAGTTCTAGTAAACTCCATTATATACCCAACAGAGTTTTCTAGTAACGCAATAAAAAAGGCAATACAAAAATCATTAGACACCGCAGTTCAGTCTTGTGGTTTGTTTATTGATCGCACACATCCATTTCTGGCAGCATCGCCTCCATCTACCTATTACAGTAGACAAGAAATGTACTTAATCCAGGTATAAGCCTACCTGTTTATTGCTTTGCAAAAACTACCTAACTGTTTCCTCTTATTTTGACGGCATAAGATATTTTTATGAATCTCATTCAACTGTTACTATGTACCACATGACCCCTGTTAACATAATTGTGTTTACTGACATGAATAGACGAATTGTAATTTGAGTTCTTGAATTTATTTTAGGAAAGATATCAAGTTATTTGAATACATTTTTTCTTAGTCGGAACGCACCGTCGCGTCGCTTGGACTGGCAGGACGAAACAGTAGACGAATTTCGCCCAAAAACCGATTTGCACTTCACAGCTTACGTTTCATTTTTTATTATTTCCAAATGAAACTCTTGCAGCGTGCTAAAAACAAAGTCCACAGGGTGCTAACGATCCACTTTTTCGATTTTATCCACTAGGATCTTTTTAAAATATCAAGAAGTTGAGCACAAATTCGATAGTAAGCATTTCAACCCACCATAATTCTTGCGCAAAAACAAAATTTTGTAAAACGCTCTGATAGCACCTTAGGCAATTATGTCCTGCTTATATCCAGAAAAACATCACAAACTGCAGCACACAAATTGAACGTAACGGCGAAATGGATACATTTCATGGCTCATGAAATTCAAATCAAAATGCAGGTATAAAATCTACCAAATTATCGTTCTCAAAAACATATTTCCTTGACATATCGATAATTTTAATGTTCCACGCTAAATTCCCCTATACTTAACTGGAGTGATGTCCGAATTCATTCTTCCCTACTGTCGGCAGTTGCAGATAGATCTGTTGGCTCTTGGTGTCAAATCTATAGAGCAAGTACCGATTTTTTCAAATCGTGAGCACATTATTCGTCGGATTTTCGTTACTTAAATTTCCTGTAATCACTGGGATCAGAAGCTTCTTAATAATAGAACGTGTTTCACTGATATCAAAGATGCAACATTCAGAATCACCTTCCCCCAACCCCCACTTTTTAAGCAGTACAATTTTTTTCTGTCAATGATAAGGAACCTCTGCAATGTTAAAAACGGAGTTACAGCAATTGTTACTTTTTATTTTTTACCTATAGCACCGTTGCCACTGGACTAAAAGTACAAAGCTTTGGCATACTAGTAACCCCGTGTGGAAATTTCATAAAAATCCGAGCGGTTATTTCCAAGTTGATCATTGATACAGTTTTTCGTGATGTAGATGTCATCTGACTTAAAAAACATAACATCTCATTTTAGAAATTTTTCGCGATTACAATACTTCCTCGCCCATAGGAAGTAAAACGGCTTTAAAATCGAGGAATATCATCAATCGTGATTATGAGTACCCCTTTATTTTTTGATGTTTTTGGATGAAATTTTCACAGAGTGCTGAAAGCAAAACCCCACAGGGTGCTATAGAGCCACTTTTTCATTTTTTTTCACTAGGTTCTTTTTAAAAAATCGCGAAGTTGAACAGAAAAAAAGGTGCGCACTTCAACCCATCATAAAACTTGTGCCAAAACAAAATTTCAAAAAGTGCTCCTGTAGCACCCTGGGCAATTATCTGCTCAACATACTGTATGAATTTCATTCAAAAATACTGAAAAATGGAGTGTCAGTTTTGAAGCAGCTGAACCCTTGTAAATGGTTTGAAACTCACTGCGTCGGAGCCGCGTTAAGCTGCTGTGAATAAACATGGACTATTGTGTGGTGATAATATGCTGTAAGACATCCGCTATGGATACAAATCGTTTTAGGCATTACGTTTCACTTGTTAGTATATTGCAAAGACAAGATGCGGGGCCTAACTAAGGATTCCTTAAATGCAACATTGCTACTGATATACAGGGTGACTTCGAAGTGGAGTCATTTATTTTAACAGTGAGTAGATCTGATCAAAAGAAATGTTTTTTTCCTTTACCATTTTTCTGGTAAAATTAAAGTAACAAAGTTATAGCCCTTTGGAAGTTTGAGTACCGCCCTGTCTCAATAATAATATTATATGCTCGTGTTTGGCAACAACGAATATAATCCGCCTTATCCGTGCATCGCATCGGAAACAAAAAAGCGAAAGAATTTGAAACGATGTTTTTACTACAATGTACAATCTTATTCAGTTGTATTCAGTCGATGTGTCAGTCGGTAACGCGTGAGTGAATAGTGAATAAAAAATGGCACATGTTTACGAAAATGCTGAATGTAGTACAAAGGGCTCGTGAATCAGGTGACTTAAGACCTCACAGGGGAGGGCATGCCGGTGCTCCAAGACCGCATGATCAAATACAGGTCCGCACTGAAATACTTGTCGGGAGGATACTTTATAAAACAAGGTAACATTTTTTTTTATTTTTTTTTATTTTTACACACATATTTTGGTTTATCTTCCTTCAACAATCATTATCTGAAAATTAATGACTCAACTTCAAAGTCACCCTGTATACAGAGTGTGAAACTTAAGCCAGACCTGTGTCAAAATGATACAAATGTGAAATCCTTGGCTCCGCCCTTCAAGCGGTTTCTTGTAGCCAAAAGACATCAAAGTAGCACCCCTCTAGTTACTATATTGATGATATTGACTGATTATGATAGGTGGAATGCGTTGATCAATGAGTGAATTGTTGAAATCATTTCGAGAGAGATTTGAAAAAAATGACTTCATTCTATACCTAGGACTGAAATTCATAATCTCATAAATACAAACATCAAGTAAATACATAATCCACTGTGACTAATTCTTTTTTTATAATTTATATTCTACAGTTACAGCTCTAAAATAATTGTTCCGTGAGCAACAATGCCTTCTAGTGGGCCAGTTTTTATTTATATATATTTACTCATGTCTTTCTGTACTTTGAGTTGAATAAATATTAATGTTATTATTATTATTTTTTTCACAGTCATGCGGGAATTGACAGAAAATTGCTATTTCCGAGGTCAGTCAACAAGGAGATCAACTCAAGAATTTTCTAGTTATTCTGCAGGTGCCTACGATTGCTGCCTTCTGGAGTTCCCTTAAATTAATAGGTGTGGTCAGGTTTTAGAACTTTAAGGTTTGTGTTGGAATATTTGTGTGTTAGGCAATTGGCAGACACGACGAATGGCAATACAAATGCTTGCTTCAGATCATATAGCTGTCGGATTTCGTGAGAAAGGTGTATCGTTAATTTTTGTTACAATCTCTGCTGCAAGAGACCAAAGAACTGAAAAACATCTGACAGAATTACCTGATACCCAAAACAAACATTGGCCTCGCGTATACATCCTATACGTAGGTCTAGCGCACTGATTCCCAAAGTGGTCTATATCGACTCCTAGGGGTCTATGACAACCTACAAGGGGTCAGCGAAAAAAAACTTGGGGGTCCATGAAATGAATATGGGGGTCCACGATAGTGGATCTCAACACATACCTACACTGATAGTACCGATTTACTTACATCATACTTCTTATAATATCAAAACATATACATTATTTATAAAAGTACCTATGAAGTAAAAAAATTATTATATATGTTTATAGAATTTGTGTAAGTTGTAGGATATTGGTATTCGCTTTGTGGTAGCAATACATTTTGAACTTGTAAAAACCTGATAGTCGCAGTCTCAGAGCTTCGCTACCTTGCACTGACTTGTTCAATTCGTCACTCTATAAATACGAATGTGGGACAAATACATTTATTCGTTTCTTGAATCTTGAAAAGGAAAGTGCTAAGAAAATATTTTAAAAAATATAAACAGATAGTACGTCACACAAGCTATAGTGAGTCAGTGTTATTTTGTCTGAGAGTGCTGGAGAAAAGTAAGTACATTATTCTTTATTAAATTTTAGTTTTGTACTCGTAGTAAGAAAAGATAGATAAATTACGCCAATCATGACTTTAGTTATTAGTAATTAAATATTCAATCATGCAAAATTACACGAGTACTCCTCAATAGTTTCTTTTTGAAATTTTTAGCAATCGGTAATATAATTACAGTGCAATCTCCGTAATTCGAGCTAATTGTTGCAAGAAGATTTCGAATTATGACATGTTTTCGGAAAAATCTAAAAATATTTTTAATATACAGCTGCTGGATTTTCTGTCTTATTTAAATAATTTAATTTTGCCCACATATGACTGATCCCATGTCCGAATCTAAAAAGAAATTTAGACAGTACAGTGTTGATTATTTGAAATTTGGCTTCATTCCATCATTGCCGGACAAACAATCGCCTATGTGCCTTTTATGCAACAAAGTTTTGGGCAATGACGCTATGAAACCATCTAAACTGCAAGATCATCTGAGAAGATGCCACCCTGATAAAACAGAGAAAGATTTAAAATACTTTCAAACACTCAAAGATAAATTTCAGAAGAGACCTACACTGGACAAAATATTCGCTTCGACGTCACAAAGAAATGATGATGGTTTGCGGGCATCTTACAATATCTCGTTACTTATAGCAAAATCCGGAAAACCGCATACTATCGGAGAGAAGTTAATTTTGCCAGCCGTTGAAGAGGTTTTCAAAACTGTTTTACACAAACCTGCATCTGGTATCATTAAAAGAATTCTCTTAAGCAACAATACTGTTGAAAGACGTATTGATGAAACGAGTTCTAATATTGAAAGCTTCTTATGTAATTATTTGCAAACGACCCATTTCTCTATACAACTGGACGAGTCAACTTTACCTGATAATGCAGCGTTATTATTGGCATATGTTCGTTTTATTTTGAATCAAGAAATCTACGAAGAACTGCTCTTCGCAAGAACTTTGATAACCGACACTAAAGGTGAATCAATATTTCATGTTTTGAAGGATTACTTCATTGAAAAAGCAATTCCTTTATCAAATATAATATCAGTAGCTACAGATGGAGCACCTGCCATGGTTGGACGTTATCGTGGATTTATAAGCTATTTAAAACAAAATGTGTCAGGGGTGTTAGCAATACATTGCGTCATCCATCGACAACATTTAGTTGCTAAAAATTTGAGTGTTAGATTGCATGAATCACTTCATTTAGTCATTGATGCAGTAAACCGAATCCGAAGCAACGCGTTGAATACGCGGTTATTTGCGCAGATGTGTGAAGAAAATGACGAACACTTTCCTCAATTACTCCTTCACAGTGAAGTACGCTGGCTGTCGAAAGGCTTATGTTTGACAAGATTTTTTTGCACTTTTTGAGACTATTTTAGAATTTCTGGATACCTACTAAAGATAAAATTTTAAAAGAAAATTTAATGAAGAGGAAGACAGACATCGCCTATTTAACAGATTTGTTTAAAAAATTTAATATGGTTAATTTGCAATTACAAGGCGACAATTTAAATTTGATTAAAACAAAGTCCATCTTATCAGCGTTTCTTGCCAGAGTTAAACTAATGAAGCAAAATATTGGACGGGGCGAATTTTCTCAGTTCCCCAATTTGTCACAGACAAGCTGCCAGGGAGACGACGTTTCAACTTACGTTCAACATTTAAATGCCCTCTATTCAGATTTTGAATCTAGGTTTGAGGATATTTTAACTATGGTAATAGTACCGTGTATAATTAATCGATATGGTGACATAGAAGAAACGAATGTCATAATACAAGAGGAACTGACTGAACTAAGTACAAACGAAGAACTTAAGGTTCAGTTTAGAAACCGATATCAGCAATACTGGCTGCAAAACAACATACCCGTTACTTATCCCGTATTATGCAATATAGCGAGGAAATTTTTAATTTCCTTTCCATCGTCATACCTAGTGGAAAGGGGGTTCAGCGCTGTTACCAATCTCCTTACGAAAAAAAGAAACAGACTGGACATCATTAGCCGAGGAGATTTAAGATTACCCCTTACAAAATTGACGCCAAATGTTGATAATTTATTATTAAAGCATCAGGTTCATCCTTCTTACTAAAAATATTGACTTATTGCTTATGTTATTTTATATATATATATATGTAGTTTATTTTATGTTTATTGGTGTCTGGCCAATAAATGGCCGCATTGGGAATAAGTGCCCGCATTGATTTTTTTAAAGAACCCCCCTTTATAGAAAATATTTTTTTTTAAATTATTCTGAAAATTCAAGGATAGGTACACACTAAAATTCGTTAATTTTTTGCCTATTTTTAGATAACTTAAACGTATAAGAAGCGGAATTTAATCAAACTAACAGTGAAATTATTGTAGAACATACGTTTATGTTATAATTAATAAACGAACTCGCTTATTGTACTATTTTAAGTAAAAAACTTTTTTTTTATTGTTTTTCACTTTTTTTATTTTATCCCTTTTATTTTTTTTCAATGCGGGCACTTATTCCCAATGCGGGCGTCTTATTGGTCAGACACCTATTTATTTAATGTTACGTATATTTTACATAACAGATACAAAATTTTATTTTGAGTAGTTTTAATTTATTCAATTAATAACTGTATAAATTAACATGTGTTTTTACTTTAAGTTTTTAACACTAAACTTCACTACAGTTAGAAATTTACAGGAAATCAATATCAGGTAAGTAGGGGGTCTACCCAACACGGAAAAACATGGCAAGGGGTCTACGACACAAAAAAGTTTGGGAAACTCTGGTCTAGCGGTTTCTGAGATATCGAAAATTTTGCGGAAAAGTTGACAAATGAGTTATAACAACATTTTATTCTAACCTTCCATATTATTTGTAACGGGTGTCTTTTAGTAGTATATAGTAAGAGTGGGGACTATCTGTATAAGGATATTTGACTGACTTGATCCATTTATTCTATCTATTAGGCATGTTCGCAGCTATATTTTTTCTCTGAGAGGTTAATTTATGTCCAACATATTCTGGTATGAACTGATGACAGCGTTGCGTGGGGATTCGACCTAGCTGACGCCATTTTTTTATAGGAAGCCATAACACTATTATTTCATATGCATACAAAAGATTATCTCTCGTTCTGGGATACCCTGTATAAGAGAAACTCGAAATGATTCATGTTGAGGAAGATACAAGGAAAGAGCAACTGTTGTACTGACCAAGTTTATAGGTAGCACCGACGGCAGTTTATCGACTAAACCCCAATAGAGCACGTTTGGGAACAGTTGTGATGGTAGCCATGAGGGAAATTGTCCTGGATTAATTAAGCTTCGCGCGTGAAGGCGAGCAAGGATGTATAAGTCGGCAATTGTTCTGTGCAAGACAGAACCTAATTAGTAACTCACAGGTTTTATAAAGGCTTGCCGGTAACTTGCTTCTAGCGCCACCTGCTATACTATGCAGACAACTTTCAGAATTTATTAGTCGTGAAGACCTGGAGAGTGTTGGAAGCCCTCGACTCTCAAGTTTGCGTGATAAACTGGCCATTCTTTAATGTGAGTTAGTTTCGCGAGGAAAAAATGGGGGCAACGGCGTTAAGTTAGTTGAGAGGTAAGTTTAAGCAGGAGGAGGTGCTGGGATCTGAAGAACATTATTTTAGTGTTTCAGATGTTTCAGTTGTTTTGTGTGAAGTACGGCTATGAAATGTCTGGCATAGCAACTCATTTATATAGGGTGTGTCATCTATTACTTTTTCTTTACCTATAAGTTTATGTGTTACCATGTGAGTCAAAAGTCGTGTGGTATGCATAAATGAACTGTCAAAGGTATGCCATTTATAGTCATGGATTCGTTTACAACACAACAACGCATTATGGTTATCCAAACTTATTTCGAAAACGGTCTAAATATAAAAAATAATTTTCGCAAACTTCGCAGTAGTTTTGGCCGACATGGACGCCCTACAGAGCCTGAAATTCGTTGGATTGTTAATCGTTTTGAGGAAGCTGGTTCAGCTGAAGGTCGTAGACCATACCAACATGCTCGTCCAGCTCGTACTCGCGAAAACATAGCCGCAGTGAGTGAAAGTGTGCGAGAAGATCCAACCACCTCGACTAGGCATCGTTCGCAACAATTGGGAATTACTGAGACCACTTTACGCCGGATTTTACACATTGATTTACACCTCCATCCATACAAAAGCCAACTAACACAAGAATTAAAGCCGGCAGACCATCAACAGCGACGTGTTCTTGTTAATTGGATGCTGGAAAGAGATGACGGATTTTCGGCCAAAGTGCTCTTTTCTGATGAGGCTCATTTTCACCTCAATGGGTACGTAAATAAACAAAATTGCAGATTCTGGGGGGCTGAAAATCCACACCAATATCATGAACAACCTCTCCATCCTGAAAAAGGGACTGCTTGGTGCGGATTATGGGCTGGTGGTATCGTTGGACCATTCTTCTTTGAAGATGCCGAATAAAAGGCTATTACCGTCAACGGGGAACATTATCGCGGCACGTTAATAGACTTTTTGTGGTCACAATTGGATCGTATTGGTGCCGACGATCTTTGGTTTCATCAAGACCGAGCAACGGCTCATACATCTCGCCAAACAATCGCTTTATTGCACACGAAATTTCAAGACCGCATAATTTCACGAAATTGAGATGTCGGTTGGCCCCCAAGATCGTGCGATTTAACACCTCTTGCCTATTTTCTTTGGGGATTTTTGGAAGGAAAAGTGTGTGCGAATGGTCCGCGGACAATTCAAGACCTAAAGCGCAATATTCGGACTGAAATTGCAGCCATAGACCCGACTATTCTGAGAAAAGTCATTGAAAATTTTGATGTTCGGATGTTGGCCTGTAAACGAAGCCGCGGTGGTCACATGACTGATGTTATTTCCCATACATAAATGGCATAAACCAACCTTCATTTATCAATAAAAAAATTCGATTTCACTTCGTAAAAAGCGTGTTGATTTTTCAAATAGAGAAGAAAGTAATAGATGACGCACCCTATATGTCTGTTATATGTCCTTTAACTTCATACAATTTGATACAATACTACATAATGCTTACTCGATACTGACAACAATTTTATGTCTGTCTATTGTTCATTGTACGCCTACAATGTATCTTCAGTAGAAAGCAATTGTGCCTGAGCCTAGATGCTTTGTAAGCACAGCCTAGAGTATAAATAGGTCCAAAAAACCTGTTCTATTATTTAATAGCCGGCGCAACACCGTAATATGCGCATAGTCATAAGTTCAATACCCGGTTAGACTCCGTCATGTCATTTTACTCTTTGTAACTAAGTTTGCACCAAGTAACAGTACTCAGCAGAGTTCCCACCAATAAAGTTTTTAAAAATATTTGTGTAGCTTCAATATTATAACAAATTGGTGTCAGAAGAGGAATCTCGACAACACTATCAGGGAGACTTCCAAAACCTGAAGGCGTAACTGGTGATCCGGAGACTATCGCTTGCTGCTTGATCAGACTATCTCCTACTGGTATGCGGTGGCGGGCGAGAAAGAGCACTACACAACAATAAACAAAGCAGAAAAGGAATCCCGGCACACAGATTAATGGAGGAAAATTAATGCAAGTGAAATTCTGTTCATGTTATTTATTGCGATATTCTGTTGATTATCTCATATTAACATTACAAATTATTTTCCAGCATTTAAAACTATTTCAATTTTTACAAGCGGATATATAAAAAATGGCTTCTCCAAGTGATGGTGAGCGTGGACAAGAAGAAAACATAGAAGCAAACAGACTGTCAGAAATATTCTCCGTTATTTCAGAATATGATGGCAACCCCATCATGTTGAATATATTTTTGAATTCTTGCAGATCTGACAACAAAATTAAACCAAAAAAAATTCGTAACTTTTTTAATGAACCTAGTAGCATTACTAAAGCTTGTAAAACTACAGACCATCACAAAAATAGAGTCAGCGAGCATAGAAAAACAACATAAAAAATGTGACCCACCTTAAAGGCAAATGAACGGCGAAATCTGTGATATGGGAAATATGTCTAAGAGGTTCATAGAATTACTAAAGTTGGGAGCATCTGAATACACTAACTTCCAAGAATTGAGATATACCCTCCCCGCCCTGAATTTTTCCCCTAAAAATGTTATCAAAAATGATCAGGATTGTCTGAAACGTCAAGAAACAAAGTTTTGCGATTTTTGTTTTTTCCGTTTTTGGTTCTTTTCTCCGCCGCCACTCAACCGATTTCATTGTACGAGGGATGTCTGTCAGTTTTGCATATATGTAGAAACATAGTAGGCCGCGCGGATCGAACGTCACTACTGAATCTTAACCTCACTCTTTAGTAAACAAAAATTCAAAGTTTCGCAACAATACGTGCAGTGTTCTCACTACAGTGAATCTTTAAGTGTCACCAAGTCATTAGAAAAATGGAACTCAAACGAGAACATTTTCGCACCAAAATTTATTACAACTTTCAGAGACAATTATCGCAACAAGAAGTTTTGCATATAGAAACATAGTAGGCCGCGCGGATCGAACGTCAGTACTGAATCTTAACCTCACCCTTTAGTAAACTTAAATTCAAAGTTTCACAACAATACGTGCAGTGTTCTCACAACAGTGAATCTTTAAGTGTCACCAAGTCATTAGAAAAATGGAACTCAACCGAGAACATTTTCGCGCCATAATTTATTACAACTTTCAGAGACAATTATAGCAACAAGAATGCCTTGCTGAGTTATTGTCTGTTTTCGGCAACGAAGCGCCACATCAGTCGACAATTTCCAGTTTGTATGTAGAATTCAAACGTGGATGGGTGAGTCTTAGCGACGATCCCAGGGTGGGTGCACCAAAAACGGCAGTCACCCAGGAAAACGTCGATGCCCGTGCGCAAACTCATCATTGAAGATAGACATGTGACATATTGCGAGATTGAGGCGTCCTTGAAAATCTCAATTCAAAAAATGTTACATTAAGAATTAGGAGTAAGAAAATTAGTTTCTCGTTGGATACCCCACCTGTTGACTGAAGAGCAGAAAGTAGCCAGGGTTAATTGGTGTCAAAAAACGCTTGACCGTTTCAATTCCGGAAACTCAAAAAATGTGTACAGCATTGTTAGTGGTGATGAATCGTGGATTTACTGTTATGAACCAGAAAATAAACGACAGTCGGCTGTTTGGGTGTTCCAAGGTGAAGAAAAGCCAACAAAAGTCATCCGTTCTGGAAGTGAACAATTCCTCTTAATGAGCAAAGAACTGTTACTGCGGATTGGTATACCACCATTTGTTTGCCAAAAGTCAACACCGAGCTTCGAAAAATCAACCCCGAAAGAAGAATCATCCTCCACCAAGACAATGCAAGCTCGCACACAGCCCAAAAAACAAGACAGTATTTAAAGGAAGTAAACGTGAAATTATTGGACCATCCTCCGTATAGTCCCGATCTAAGTCCTAATGATTTCTTTACTTTTACGAAAATTAAAAACAGACTGCGTGGTCAAAGGTTCCAGTCACCAGAAGAAGCAGTTGATGCATTCAAAAATGCAGTTTTGGATCTGCCATCAAACGAGTGGAATAAGTGCTTCGAAAATTGGTTCGAGCGCTTGCAGATGTGTATTAATCTTCGTGGAGAAAACAATAAAGTCATTTAAAACTGCCTACGTTTTATTTCCATATGCAAAACTTAAAAGACATCCCTCGTAAAATGAATACGGATTGTAAAAACTATCGCGCTTGTGTGGGAAATATACGAGATAGCGAAAACCAAATCCGGAAGGAGCACAGCGAAATCTACAAGGTTATCAACGTTCCACTGCACCGACTGAAAGCACGAGGTGTGAGGTTGAGACACCCCACCCCCTACACTACAAACCACTCACACCCTTTCATAAATCCGCTCCGCATTATATTGAATTCGAATTGTAACTTACCAGGTTGCAATACCTGCTCGCGTAGGGTAAAGCGAAGGGTCGGAAATTAGAAACCGTGGGAATGTCAACTGGATTGAGTCGGACTGTGTTTGGGGGAATTTATAATATGGCTCAGACTCGTGTACTGCGATTCCGTAGGGTTGCGAATAAAGAAGTCTGGACGGACTGTGATTAAAACAGCATTTTTATTCTAGAACTCCAGTAAAGTCAGGGTCTGAACACTGGCGTAGCATAACTAAAGTTTGATGACGAGATTTTTGAACTGTCTAAGACTAGCTTGCCCCAGTTGGTTAACGTGTTAACTGTAAATTTGATCAAGTTCAGCTCAAAACATCTAAGACAGATACTGACACAGACCTATTGGTCTACTTCCAGTGATTAGCATGGTGATTGGAAAGTACATCAATCTGGAGTTTCTGGTGTATCTCAAGCATTACGGCGTTTTTAGCGACAGGCAGTATGATTTCCAGAACCAGCGATCAATGCTGGACCTCCTTGCTTACATCACATAACTGCGACTCATGTCGTTTCTCTTTCCAGAGAAACTTTGCAAAAGGGTAGCTGACTCCCTCTCCGGCAGCAACTTATCCACTATAATTGACAGGTTCTACCTGTTCGTCTTACGCGAGTGTTCACAGCTTTACAGCCATTCAGTGTGACAAGCTGATCACTGCTGCTAAGCCGGAGAGAAGAAGACTAGCAGCGACTTCATCTCTAACAGAGCTATCACTGCTTGTGGATGCAATCTGCTTCAGTTTAATGCTTCCAAATCACTTCACTGTACCTGTACGAAGTCCATATCACCGAGTAAATAATTTGGCACGGAGACATCTCGTCAACCACACCAGCTACTGGGAAAAAGTTAGGTAATCTGTTAAGAACCAAGTGCTTACCTCCACATAGACACCTCACTCTGTATAAGGCCCAGATCAGACTCAGCCCAGAGTACTGCTCACATGTTTGTGGTACTGCCGGCTCGACTACACTGTACATTCTCGATGCTGTTTACAGAACGGCTGTTAAACTGATAGATAACACTTCTCTTACGGTCAGTCTCGGAACCCTTTTGCAGTGACGGGTGGTGAGCACTCTGGCTCCTTATGTCAAAGGGCTGTGCTCTTCAGAGCTCTCCTCCTTGATGCCGCCGCACATTTTGTCTGCCAGACGGATCCGCCAAGCTTTTGCCTCCCACTTTTGTACGTCTAGAAATAGCCGGTACGACCACACCTTGGTTCCTAAGTTGAAACAATATGCTTGACAAGGCTTCTTCCAGTTCTGTTAAAATTATTTGATTTTCGATTTTATTTTTAATGTAAGAGTTAAGTAACATCAACTTGATAACAGAAAATTTGGAGGATCATATGTCTGTTATATTAAAATTGAAAGAAAACAGGCTGGTATCACGTCATTCCCTTATCCAACTGGTCAATAGCTACAGTTTGTTTCAGGTCTGGAATGTCTCTTCCTTATCACAAAAATTGTGGTATTATCTGTAAATAGGGTGAGTTTTCTCAAAACACTGAATGTGGCTAAATCGGTAATACAAGTATATTATATGTATGAATAGAGCTGGGCTCAGAGCAAACGCCAGGCGGCACTCATCAATATAGAACAGAGATGTCAGATTATTTATTATTAATCTTAACTGACAAGTTACTACGGAACCACTTAAGATATATAGTTCATACTTGAAAAAGATTGGCATGTCCTATTCTAGAAATAGTGGTTTTGAAATTTAGTCTCTTAATTCAGACAGTATCATAGGCGCCCAACAGGAGGTATAAGCTTCCACTTGACCAGTAAATATTCTCGACAGTCTTTTGTAATTTTTTGGACATAGTGGAATGTGTTTTCTTACTACTAGAAATATCCGTACATATAAATTATTTTTATCCCACCTCTGTAAACAGCTAGCAACTATATTTATACTGTAAGGCTAATCTGCCCCTCTCTGAATTTTGCTATATAGGCACCCATGTACAGTATTATAATTTAGATATCAGTTTGATATGACATGAACTGAAAATAAGATCCTTTAATTCTGAAATCCAATTATTGTCTTCCCATTCTACGCAATCACTGTCGCTGGTCTTGAATATAGGCCTGCGTTTATATACATGAAGAGGGTGAAACCGTCTTCCCATTGAAACAGGAACATCCCCCTATCTTTAACGAATAACGAAGCCCGCCTTTTTTCCAGAGTGACCGTTGCTTCGAAAAAATCGGTAACCTTCGTTATAAAAAAGAGATTTAGGGGAGCATCCCGTGAGAAACGGTGAAATACGTCGTCAGTTTGCAGAACCAGTTTCTAAAATAGCCTGGTAGTCATGTAGAGAAGATGGGTTGACAATCAGTGTATGGACTGTAGTTATAGCTACTTACTTTTTGGTTCATTTTGACATGACTTGACAAATTATAAGTCTCCCAATCAATATTTCCTTCCGCTTAAGACTAATTGAGATCATCTTGTAGAATTTCTGGAATTTGTTATGTTGATATTCGAATACTAACTAATGATTAGTGATAA